CTCCTTAAATAACCAGAAAAGATTAACCAGCACAGAAGAGACTAGGTGTTGTCACCAGGACCAGACATACTTTTTATCTGTTCTTCTGAGGGCAACTCTGAGAGATTACCTGGGAGGCTTTATCTATATAGTAAGACAACCTCTGTTCACAGTGGTGTTCCACGCTTTGCCTTCTCATCACCTCCCTCTGTCCCAGGCCATTGTTCTTCGGGCTCATTCATTCCCCCTGAAAATCACTCACTCCTATACCCCCATGTTCCCTTCCCCTGTTGAGGAAGGACATATAAGCATCTGGACCTCACTGGGTTGTTGGGTAATCATACTCCTGTGATTTTCTCCTGTGCATGTTAAATAAATTTTGTATGCCCTTTTCTTCTATTAATCTGCCTTTTGTCAGTTCATTTTTAGCAAACCTTCATAGGCAGAGAGGAAGCATAACAAACATTTATTTCTCACAGTCCTGGAGGCTGGGAAGTCCAAGATCAAGGTGTTGGCAGGTTTGGTGTCTGGTGAGGGCCTGATTTCTGGTTTCCAGACAGCTGCCTTCTTTCTGTGTCTTCACTTGGGAGAGAAAGAGACAGCGAGATCGAGAGAGGGAGAGAGAGATCTCATGTCTCTTCCTCCTGTTATAAGGGCTTCAATCCCATCCTGAGAGCCCCATCCTCATGGCCTAATTATCTCCCAAAGGCCCCATCTCTAAATACCATCACACAGGGGGTTAGGGCTTCAATATACGAATTTTGAGGGGATACAAACATTTGGACCATAGGAACAGGGCAGAAAACAGACAGAATGGGAACTTCCAGCAGGTTCCAAAGAACTTCACAGATGTCAAGACTAGTGAGCCAAAGGAGTAAAATATCTGTTACTCATGATTTCTCTTAGAACAACTCCACTCGAGATTGTTATTGGTCCTTGCAACCAGTACGAACTTTCATTCTCACAATCTTTAGTTCTCCAACTGCAAAAGCTCCTAAGATAATTTGCATCACACACTTTCAGAATTACTGAGGAGTCCTTTAAAATTGAGATTTTACTCTGGGGGAAATGGATATGAGAGCAGTTTTGCTATAACAAGAATAACCATAAATATTTTAAGTGTGATTCAGATTGGGAGGGAGAAACCTCAGCAGAAGAAATGTGTGTCCATTCAGTACTAGTGGTACAGTTTTTTTGGCAATACAAGATCCGAATTAAGCTTTATTGATTTCTTGGTTTACAAAAAAAATGCAGATAATACTGGTTTTGACAATCTTTTGACTACATCTCCTAAATATTTATAAACCTAAATAAGATGCTTTTAACTGGTTCAGAGGGCAGTTTATTCATTTTTTCCTATTTTAATTCCCTAAAGACCCACTGTAAGAAAGGGGATATTTATGACCTGTGACTAATATCTAGTAATCATGATGGACAATGACTCTTATCATTTAAGAGCTACTTGAGGAAGGGGAAAGGCCTTCAATGGTCAGTAGGGCATTTCTGAAATCTAATAAACTGCTATTACTGCTTCAGTAATAGAAGTTTAATGGCTTGTTAGACATAAAGATTGCATGAAATTTATTTAAAGATAATTTTGGGGTCAGAATAAGAGATTTACACATGTAATTATCCTGTTGATCAAGGTGAAAATGAATAACTTTCTTTTACTACAAAATGTAAGAGGTCATGCTTATTTAATTTCTATATGTTATGAGTCTTGGAAAGATATTAGATATTGGTGGTAGCTGCAATTATACTATGGTGATAGTTTTTCTTTTTAAATGGGGTGAGCTTTAGAGGGATTCCGAGACAGGTGCAGAACTCTGGAGAGAACTGGGAATCAAATGGTCGTTTCTTGTCAAGCCTAGACAACAGCGTATCCAGGCTTGAGGAAATTTGAGTAGTCAGAACTTATTTCCAGAATCTTTGAGTTTAAACAAGAGCTGCTACAGGATCTGGGGCAACTCATGTATACTTGCTAGCTGTCACTTTAATTTTATTTAAAGGCAAAATTTGGCTGGCCCATTAAATTGTTCTTTTCATTTTTCTAATGTCATATCTACCATCTAAAAAGTTAAAATTGCTTAGCTATTCGTAAGTTACTATTTTCTTTTTAATATATCATCCTGTATAAATAACTTTAATATTGATATCAGTTATCTATTGCTACACAACAAATTAACACAAATTTAGTAGCTTAAAACAACAAATATTTATCATCTCACAATTTCTGTGGGTGAGGAATCTGGGCACAAATTAGCTGGGTCCTCCGCTTCAGGGTCTCTCATGAGTTTGCAGCTAAGGTATTGACCAGGGCTAGGGTCTCATCTGATGGCTTGACTGGAGAAGGATTTGATTCTACCCTCATGTGGCTGTTGGCAAGATTTAGTTCCTTGCAGCCTGTTGGACTGAGTGCCTCAGTTTTTGCTGGCTGTTGGCTGGAGGCCACCTTCCATCTTGGCTATTGGTCTGAGGCCACACTCAGTTCCTAATAGTTGTCCCCAGTGTGGCTGCTTGCTTCATCAGGTAAGAAATAAAGTCTGCTAGCAAGGCGAAAGCCACCGTTATGTAAGTTAATCATGGAAATGACAACCCACCGTCCTTGCCATGTTCTGTCATTTAGATGCAAGTCAAAGGTCACAACCACACTCAAGGGGAGGCAATGTGAAGACAGTTGGGGGTTATTTTAGAGTCTGTCTGCTGCAATATTATTTTATTAATATTAAAATATATTTTCTTTTAGAAAATGTAAGCACTATGGATGAATTATAAAAAAATCCTGCAATTCCTACCACCCGAAGAGAAAAACCATTAATATTTTGGTACATGTTCTTCCAGGCTTTTTTCCTGTATTTTATATATTATTAAATATTAAATAAAAATGTGGTCATAACTTGATACACTGTTGTGTAATCTATCTCGTTCATTAAAGATTCTTGCAAACTAGTAAATAATCTTCTATATAATTTTAAATGGCTGAATAAATTTATGTTATGATTAGACCATGGTACATTAAACCCAGAGGTTGGGAAACTTCTTATATAAAAGCAAAATAGTAAATATTTTAGGCTTTGGGGCCATATAGTTTGTTGTAACTACCCAATTCTGCTATTGTAGTGTTAAATCAGCGATAGACAATATGTTAATAAGTGGGGTGTGGCTGTGTTCCAGTAAAACTTTCTTCGTGCACATTGAAATTTGAATTTCATATAATTCTCATGTATGACAAAATATTATTTTTCTTTTGATTTATTTCAACCATTTAAAAATGTAGAAATTACTCTTAGCTTGCAGGCTGGATGAAAAAAGGTGGTCGGTCAGATTTGGTCCTTGGGCTGTAGTATGGTTTATCCTGTTACTTTCAGCAATATATTCAGATAATTCCAAATTTTTAGTACTAGAATTAATGCTGAGATTAACATCTTGGTAGCTAAATGTATGTACCTATTTATAATTATTTACTGAAGACAAATTCTTAAAAGTAGAATTATTGGATCAAATGTTATACACATAAAACTTTAATACATTTGTTAAATTACTCTCTACGATGTATACACCTACCAAAGTGTGTGATTATGCTAATTTCGGTGTCCTTTCTAATACTGGGTGTTATCTTTTGAGGAATCTTTGCCAACTTGGTAAGTTAAAAATGTCAAAGATTTCCCCTTTTAATAAACAGTTTGTGTGATATTTTAAATGCATTTCAAATCTGTGGTTTCTTTCTTTCAGACTGTAGATCTAGGTGTCCTAAGATAACTTGTCCCACTGAAATGACACGTAAATAAAGTTAAGGCTGAGGGCCACTTGACTATTAAGAATCCATAATATTATGCTAATGCCTGTTACAGGAAATTATTGATTATAAGACTGACTGATAAAGTCTCTATTTGAGGCATTGCCATTATATCACTAGAAAAACTAAGTTGGTAATATAGGCATTTTGTAGTACTTAAGGTGAAGTGTTAATTATGCCCAAGAAGGAAGTGCGCTCATAGCTTTGGGCCATTTTGAGCAATGGACTAAATAGAAATTAAAATTTAAAAATCTATGTCTATATTTATATCTATCTATATCTATGAGGGTTTGATTCTATTTTCTTCTTAAAACTCAGATCATGTCACTCCTGTTATTAAAATCTTTTCTGATTCCTTTCTTGCCATCTGAAGTCCAGACTCCTTAGCATGGTATTCAAGATTCGGTAAGATCCGTTCTTAGTTTATCTTTTTAATCTAATATAATGCTGCTTTACTATAGGAAATAATAATAACACAATAATCACAACTAATATTCATTAAGACTTAAAAATATGCACCAGATATTGGGGTAAGCACTTTGAGTTAGGTACTATTATTTTTACTATTTTAAAGATGGGAAAATAGGTTTAGAAAATGTAAGTAGCTTCCTAAGATCAAACGACTATAAGTCGTGTTTATTTTTTTCCCCACCTGACCTCACTACACTACCTCAAATAATAAAATTAATTTATTCTTAAGGTCCTCAGTTGAGGGCTCTATCAGAGTCCAGCAGAGTCTTAGAGAAAAGATGTTTTCACTCCTCTGCCTTGGAGGCGGTTTAAGAGTTCTACTCAGTCCACCAGTGGCCCAAGTGGTCTGTTTGTTTCAAATAACAGTAATAGAGGTGAGCTTTAGAACAACATGCTAATATCCCTCTTAGGGACATTTATAGAATATTGAAATGTCCCAGAAGGGAAATATAGCTCCCTACAGAATATTTCATTGGATAATAAAATTCCTGAACTGCTTATTTGGAGTTGATGATCTATGGCAGTGTGTATACATTATTTTTATACCCTATGGTAAAATATAGCAATAATAATTCAGGGCATATGGAACAGTAATACATTGTCAAATATTATTGTCTTTAATGAAATGAAGGGTCTCATTGGAAAATGATGGGAAATTAATGACTTAAGCAATAAGCCCAAATCCACTACACCCCGTACAAAAGAAATGGCAGGAACATCTCCCTTCTCAATAGCTTTTCTCCCTCTGTCTTAGAGGAACTAAGATGGAAGTTGAAGAAAAGCCTAAGCTTATCCAGGAGAAGACTGCAGTTATACCGAGTGCTGGGATTCCTGGGTCCCTGTTGTTGGATATGAAGTAACTGTGAGCCCTGTTGAAGGTGTCAGGGCAGTGTAGTGTATTAGGTTGCCAGTGGCAATGAGTGGCATCTAAAGAACAATTCTAAGTCTTAATGTTTCTGATTAGAAAGCCCTAATTTAAATAGCGGGCACAACTTTGCTGATTCTTTACTTCCCTCCCACCATTAAGATATTCCCTTAAAAGGATTCACTTGAGGAGCCAAATCACTTTCAGTCATTTTCTCACAATGTGAATTCTACCCAGGATGTACGTCAAGAGGCTCCTATGTCAACACTGTCAATTGTCTGAAATTCCACTTTCCACTTAGTTCAGGAAAACCTGGCAAAGGAACTATGAGAGTGTTTATTTTTCTTCACCAACCAAACTATGAAAAAGTATATGATTCATGGCCGGGCGCGGTGGCTCACGCCTGTAATCCTAGCACTCTGGGAGGCTGAGGTGGGTGGATCGTTCAAGGTCAGGAGTTCGAGACCAGCCTGACCAAGAGCGAGACCCCGTCTCTACTAAAAATAGAAAGAAATTATTTGGACAACTAAAAATCTATACAGAAAAAATTAGCCGGGCATGTTGGTGCATGTCTGTAGTCCCAGCTATTCGGGAGGCTGAGGCAGGAGGATCGCTCGAGCCCAGGAGTCTGAGGTTGCTGTGAGCTAGGCTGACGCCATGGCACCCTACTCCAGGCAACAGAGTGAGACTCTGTCTCAAAAAACAAACAAACAAAAAAGTATATGATTCATTATTCTTTGTCACAAAATATATAAAGGCAAAAAATGAATTGTATCTAAAGTTTTGTCTTCCCTCCCTCTTTTTCTTCCCATTTATTGAGAGAAAACTCTCCTTGTCAGGTTGGTGACTTTCTGGGTTCCCTTTATAACTAAATCTACTGGCACCTTGTAAAAAGCCTTCTCAGGTGCAGATTTTTCCAGGTGTGTCCCTTCCCACTGGAGTCCTGGGACCTCGGATCTCAGATGGTCCTGTTGGCTTGCACCCAGACACTTCATCTCCAACCCTAGCTCTTTGGATGGTGGCTTGGGTGGATAGTCTGCTTGGGTTTGGGTTTGGCTCCTTCCCGAGATGCTGCCTCTGACTGTACGTACCCTATGGGTAAGGGATAGACCTGTCAGTGCCCAGGCTGCTGGGTCATTCCACCTAGCCCTGACCTCACCCCCTGGGCCACTACTTGTCTGGAAAGAAGGTCCTAAATTCAAGGCAATATCTAATAGCAGAGGTGGTTAAGAAGCATACCAAGAATCAGGATACAGCATTCCCTGCTCTCTAGAAGATACAGTCAGGAAGGGTAGATGAGAGGCACACTTAAAAGATAATTTATGATTTAGATAATACAATTCACAGGACATTCTGGGATAGCTGTGAAGATCACTCAGAAGATATTTATGGTGCATCTGCTTGCACAGCATTTTTTCAAAAACTGTGTAGTACACACATTATTATTTGGCATGGTTGGGAGAGAATATGTTCTGTTTAGTTCAACATTTGGTTAGTATATACTGTGTGAGGTATATTAGTGAAATTGACTAAATTATGCTTAATTCTAAAGTCACACTTAATTTTTTATTTTTAGTTTTGTAACTTAATGTTTTAGTATGCCATATATATATCCAATGTTAAAGCTCAAATTAACCATTTGAATTTCTGTTTGTTGTATTGATTAGACAATAAATTACACAATACTGAATATGCTTTAATCTGGGATAATTACGAAGGCACATTGTGGGCTTACACACCTCAGGGAAGATCAAATGAGGCTGTAGACACATTGGAATATAGATCAATTATTTATGTGTAAGGGGATTTATGGTAAATGCAGTATTGGATAGGAAGTGAAAATGTCTGGTAATGGGATCGCAATAAACAGAATGTTGAATTTTTCCAAAGTTTAACTTTATTTGGGAATGGAAAGCACATGATCCAGTACAATTAGGAAAAAAATACAACTTGAAAAGTCCCACAAATGCACTGAATGTCCGCTATATATAAAGCAGTTGGCCCTATTGACAAAGCACACAGTAGGTCCTTCAGGGGCTAGAAGAGTATTAACTGTTCACCAAAAGTTGTCAAAGAAATAAGACAAGTACCCAAGTAAGCAGAATGGGAAGAAGTAGCATTTGAGGGTGGTGGGAGGAAGCCCTTGTATTGTGATTTGGGTAGTCTGAAGGAAGGAAAACTTCCAGAACGAAGGGAGCAATTACAAATTAATTTGTTGGCAAGGATGTAATCTTATTCTGGTCCTCATGAAACAAACACTGCTGTGTAATGTAGAGGCTACATAATACATTTATGTTCCATGACTAATGTGCTCTATTTGTTTCTCAAATTCACAGCCATTTTGGAAAACAACATAGTGTTTGAGTGTTCTTGAACCTTGGTCATAAAATGTTTTGTGTAGTTCGTAGCATGTTGACCAGTTTGGGAGACCAAGGCAAGGGGAGGAAGGCGGAGGCTTGCTCTTTCCTGCCCCCAAAGCAAGCCCAGAGTGGTCCCAATTCTAGCTCTGCCTCCACAATCACTCTGTGTCCTTGGGAAGGTCATCAACGAACTATAAACTGGTAATAATAAAAGAATCTGCCCATTGCTGTTGCTTAAGTGAGAGATGCATATAGAACAAAGAATCAAAGAGCAGTCCCCAGACTTGATAGGTTGCTTTTCTTTGGGTGCTTACCCGAGTTTCACTTGTTCTTCCTTGGCTTTGCCAACATCCTTGCCAACAAGGAAGAGGGAAGAGGCGGAGGTTTCCTCATTCCTTTTAGCATTTAGTGTATTGCAGCTCCTAGTGCATCACAGCTACTTACCTCTCCCTACCCCACCTCCAATGTAACTAAGCAAAAGTTATCCTGCATCTAGCGTCCCTATCTTGCATAATCATTGCAGCAAAAGATAGAATTTTCACATCCAATCTGTACTCTCAGAAAAAGTAACAACCCTCAGGGTCACACAACTGATCAAGGTTAGGTTTCGAACTCCTGACCTCTAGCGATCCTCCTGCCTCGGCCTCCCAGAGTGCTAGGATTACAGGCGTGAGCCACCACGCCCGGCCTCAACTTTTATGTAACAAAGTTGTGAGTTGTTTTTCAGTTGTTGTGAGCATCCAGGTTGAAGGTCACAGTAACCCGAGCATGCCCGGATGAACGGAGCATGCAACCATGGGCAGAACCTAAGTGCTTGCACTGAGGAGCAGGGACTGAATTAAGAAGTGGACACTGCGTGGTAGGATGCAGGATCCAATCAGATCAAGCCCTGACGCCTCCCCACAGCAAGATCCAATCAGATCATGCCTCCTGGCATCACTTCATCGCAGATCCTCATTACCCTCTGACTATAAAGCCAGCCCCAACTCCTTGTGTGGGGACACCTCCTTACTTGTGCCAAGTGACAAAATCCCCTTCCTATAACCAACTTGGCTTCTTGTCTATTGGCTTGATACCCACCAAGAGAATGAAACTCGCCATTTGGGAGGTAACAAAAAGTACTTGAATGTTTTTCCTTAGAAAAATTTCTTTGTAGAAGTGGGGTGTATGTTATATATGCATGCGTCTGCTATGCAGGCAAATAGGGTGCCAAGGTTGGCAAAGATCTGACATGGACCTGGAAGAGTGCATGTGATTCATCTGAGGTTAGCTCGCTCTCGGTGCCGCCTTCTGCTCTGATGATCTGTGTCATCTCGCTGTGTACATGTGTGTCTACTGACAAAAAATAAAACTTTTCATGTGCCATTAATTAAGCCACTGATTTATTTAATTCAGTCAGGCTCAGTCAGACACAGAGACACAAGACTCTTCCTACTAACAAAGGAATGAAGGAACTTTCTATGACTTTATAGACACCAGGTTGAATATAGCTTCCCATGACATCCAATTAGCATGTTTGAGATTAATGGCTACATTCCACAGGAGATAACATTAAAGTTTTGCAGTCTTGATGTCTTAAGGGGACATATTACAAATAATCTAACAAGGACAAATTTCTTCTGGTTACAAAATACTAAGTAGGATGGTTATAAGATATAGAACAGGTATAAATCCACCCAAGGGCCTATGTCTGAAGGGTGGTTTGGATTACTATCCTTATGAACGTTCTCAGCCCTTATCTTTATCTAAGAAGTTCTTCTAACGGGGATACTACAGAATCTTGTCTCCATGCTGCACATGTCATAACTACCACTGATTTTAGCAACTGTTCGTAAAATAGTCCAGAGATAGAAGTAAGTTCCTGAAATTCGGAGTCTTTGTCCTAGTTATTTGTTTACATTGTTTTTGTAACCTTGAACATGTATCCTATTTCTCATTCTTATTTGAGAAACCAGAAGCTGTGCTTCACAGGGGTTTTTTGAAGACTTAATAATTGCAAATTACATTGAAAAATGAAGTGTTAGATATATGATGAAACATAAATGGATGGATGTTTATTTTAGAACCCAATCACATATGGTCATTGTCTTAGTTCATTAGAGCTGCTATAATAGGAATTCCATAAACTGGGTAGCTTATAAACAAGAGAAATTTGTTTCTCATAGTCTTAAAGGCTGGGAAGTCCAAGGTCAAGATACCAGCAGATTCAGTGTCTGGTAAGGGCTTCAGTGAGGGCCTGCTTTTTGGTTCATAGATGGCACCTTCTTGCTGTGTCTTCATATGGTGGAAGGGGCAAGGGTCTTTCTCAGGCCTCTTTTATAAGGGCACTAATCTCATTCATAAGAGCTCTGACCTAATGACCCAATCACTTCCCAAAAGCCCCA